ACATCTACAAGCAATATGAATGCTCCTGAGCTAAATTTCAACTGTCCCAGATAAGGGTATGAATACTTACGCAATGGAATCATTTAAGTTTTTTATTTTTAATAAATTTGCGAAGATGTTAAAAACCTGTTTTTTGCTCTACCATTATGGTGTATGGAGTATAGATTGATGTGGAAAAAAAGTAATTTAAAGCAGTTTAGTATAAGGCAGCAATATAACAAAACGTGAAAAAAAATGAAGGGGTATGAATACTTTCACAAGGCACTGTATATATATGAAGGGTATACATTAGGCTACCTCTTAAGCATTTTCGGGAGTAAAAAAAATAAAAAATTGGTGCCATAAAATAATCCCCAAACAGCTGTCAATATCAAACAAAAATATTTAAAGTGGTGTTCTTTTTAAAAAAAATCACTGTTTGTAAACTACATTGGCACAATCAGAGATGAACCAGTCAAAAGTAGTTATTTGTGAGCAAACGAAAAATTTCTTGTGTGAATCCAATGCAACATTTTTTTGAGAATGCAAAAGCATTGACATTTTTTTTCCATCACCGTGTCCCTTTAGAAGCTCTGTAGAGCACTAGTAATCCAGATTTTCTGGATCATTGTGATCCAGTCCATTTTGCTTTGAAAAATCAGAATCCACAGCCTCAGGTGTCGCACCTAGTGTGGGGTTCACTTCAACCACATCCATCACAGAGAGTAAACCTGTGTAGTCCAAAACAAAAAATATTAGCGTCAAGGTTTTTGGATTTATTTGATTTCAAAGACATCAGTTATGTGAATGGTAGATCTATACCTGTGTTATGGATCTCCTCTGTTACGTAGATGCCCTCTCTATAGGTCAATCCTCCATTAACGGGAGTTCCAGTGGCAGGAGCCAGGGACGGGTCAAATGCATCGATGTCAAAGCTCAGATGGATCGGCCTTTGTTTCCTGATATAAAAACAAATAACAGTGACAAATTACATAGGTTGTTTGATTGTGATGTAGTGTACACAGATGAAACTGAGATAAAGTGCTACAAATTATTTATGACATTAAACATGTAAGTCAGGTTAAATAAGGCCGCTTGTGGGCTTGTATTCCTCCAGAAAACTACTCTGCCCCCATTTACAAAGTTCAATATTACACATGTAGAATAAGCAGCAACATGCAATTTGTTGCTGGTTGTTTACAGAAGCACCACTACTAGGTAAATAAGTGTGTATGTTTTTCGCAATATCACTATACCTTGCCAAGAGGTGATCCAAAGTGACCTCCATTACCCTCTGAATGCCCATTCTGTCAATATCACGCATGGAGAAATATTGGATTCCCAGGGTCTTCAGGATTATACTGAGAGAGAGCAATAAGATCAAATTGGCTAGTAAAATAAAAGTAGTGATGCTATTTTTTCTTTCTCTTTATATATGCAGTACACACACACATACTGTATGTATTATAGTGGATTCACCATCCAAATTGGTCTGATTTAGTCTCATGTTGGCTTCATCGTAAACATTTATTTTGTGCCCTATTGGTGGTTACAGATAATGTTAGTTATATTAATAGCCTATGGATTGCAACAATTGGTGATTTAGTAGCATAGGCTTTAGAGAACAGGCAACAGGTGCCAAATCCTGGATGACAGAACATAGTGTGCTTACTGCTCGCCTGGATCCACATCTCTGAGGCCAATGTAGACCAGATCTCTGGCAGACAGGAAAGGCTTCATCCAAGAAAATCCAGGAACTTCTGGCATCTGCAGGTAAGAAAGCAGAAGATAATGGCTTTAGATGTTCTAAAGAACAAAGCTTAGAGATTTCTGGGGACAAATTACTTTTAAATTTACATGATATCAACATTTCTTTTAACTGTTGGATGTAATTTTGTGCATGGATGCTAATCACCTTGTTCTGCAGGTCCTTAAGTAAGAATGCTACAGATTGGCCGTGGAGGTTTCCAGAAGGTGAAGTCAGAGGAGTGTTGATATCTGCGTGAGCGTCCACCCATATCAGACACAGGTCAGGGCACTGCTGAGCGTGACCTTCCACTGAACCAATCGCTAAGCTGCAGGGATGAAAGTATTACAAATGTTAATATTTGATGATTTTGGCCTTTAATAGAACAAATTCAACACAGTCTGAGACTACATTGAATTTTTTCATTTGTCAGACCAGTTTTGATTAGAAAATTTTGGATTAAGCTAACTGGAAATACAAACAGCTTCTTGAGTCTAAAAGACAAACCTTGACCTTTCAAAAACAAAGTGATAAAACTGATCTCAGTTTAGCCAGAGCGCCACAACATTAATTTGTGCTTGTGCCAAAAAGACATAAATGGAAAGACTAGTGGAATAAGTAACTAATTATTAACACTGACATTTTCCATGATAAACACTAATAACTATACCAAGATAAAAGGCTTTGTAGATAAAAGATTGTACTTTTAGCCCAAGATTTAACATAAAAAAGCAAAGACTTTAGATTAAAAAAAATAATTGTGTACCTATGGTCTCCCCCCAACATGATGCAGGTGTGTCCCGCCCCCACCGCACCACTCACAGCTCCCGACAGCAGCTGATTGGCACGTCCAACTGTGCGTGGGAACGGCACATGCATAAAGTGCTCATCTTTTTCCAGATGCTTGAAGGTCAGGTCTCCAAAATCATGCACAGCGTAGTCTACAAAAAGACAGGACATATATATTAACTAATGACATGTCAAGGTTTTCTTAACATGGCCATTACAATAAACGTTGTTAAAGTTTCCACACTTTCAGCCTACTCCGACCAAGCACATATGCTTCTTTCTAAGACTGTATGACTGACAGGTCTGTCACTCAATTCCAGCATGAATCTGACCAAGCCATGTAGTGTCATATAGAAATGTAGGTAGAAACTCCCATAGGTGGACACTGATGAAGGTCTAAACAGCTGATGGGGCCCACGATGACAGAACCAGACCAGCCGCAGTGACTTCGTGACAGTGTTGAATTACTCATCATCAGATTTTAAATGACCAATGATGGACTTGCATACCATCATGTGGCCTCTTAACAGGAATAGACGTGAACACTGTGGCACAGTTAAGTTTTAAATAAGTATATTTAAAATACTAGATTTGAAAACAAGCAAACTATGAGGAAATTAAGGAGTTGGCCATGATAGTAGCATGAGGGATGGTCGTCATAAGCTAAGACAGAGGTAAGGGTTAAAGTTGTATTGACTTAACTGCATTTGAAGACTTCAGGTTCATTTGCAGTTCTTGCTCAAAGAAATTTTGAGAATGAGCATGTTACATTTCAGCTCTCTTTTGTGTATTTAATGTAACGCCTTGCCATATGCAAGACATTTACAGCCAACAGTTGGTGAAGAGAGCAAGACTATATTTGTTGCATTGGATAAGGTAAGCTTTGATATAGTTTGGTCAAGAATGCTCGCCATATATGGTGCTATGGTTATTTTCACAACTACAAACATGTGATGCCATGAGCCTGTTAAAGTGATGCAACAAATCATCATTTTATCATTAGGTTCTACAGATATTTTTATGTTAAAATTAAGGCTGGACAATAATTAAATATCAATATATATCGCAATATTTTTTTTTCAATAACGGTGATATGATTTTAAACATTTCCGATATTTCAATATACTTTACCAGTGTTTCCCATATTGATTTATTTGTGGTGGCCCGCCACAATATCAACACTGACCGCCACAAATAGATTGTCCAAAAGGCTTTGACAGTTTGACTTAGTTGAATAAACATAAGCACTGCACATTTCAAAATCAAAATGCGGCGTGGGTGTTTTATATGAATGTATCTTTGAAGGGAACCTTCAAGAAAAGTTTCGATGGCATTTTCATTTTATTTGATAAAGCAGCGTTCATGAGCGGAGCGCTGCTTTGTTTATAGCTGTTACCGGGAAAACCGCTGTTTCTGCCGCGCCAAAAGCGCCTCCTGCTGGCAGAGAATGAATTTGCATTTTCAATCAGCCCGTCTCCAGCAACATGTATTTTTGTTGTTGCTCGCTCTTTTTTGTTTTCTGCAGCAACTGAGCACTTTTCATATTCTTTATCCTGGCTCAAGCACTTTTGTTTCAAGAATAATCAGCCTTATGTTATATTTTATATAGTTAGAGTTTAGTTTAGTTAAAGATATTAATATTAATAAGGTGACGGTGATTTCACATTTCTTGTTTGTATGAAGGCTAAATACAAATAAAAGGTGAACATTAATTTATTTGTACCGTTTTTATTTCTTTAAAATATTATATAGTTTTATAGGAAGAGGTTTCATAGACTTAGCAAATTAATTTTTTTAATGTAATTTTTTTCAAAAAATTTTAGGTACAGACATCCGTTGTAGGCTTTTTTTTTAATATATATTGCTCATATCGATATAGTATCGATCGAAATCAAGAAATATATGTAGATATGTGGGGGCGTGTTAGAACGAGCCGTTTTAGGGGGGCGTGGCAGAGTCTTAACTTTGATAAAGAATATCTCTTTGGTTTTGAGACTTTAGTCTTTGCAACTTCAGGGATCTTATCTATGCACAATCAACTTGTAACACTCCAAAGAGAAAGGAAAACTTGAAATCGCATCATATGACCCCTTTAAAGTTTTTTCCTCAAGCAATCCAACGTACTAAAGTGTCCCAAGAAAAATCCCAATAAAATGTCCAAGAGAAATAAGTCTGTAAAAGAGCTAATGAGACAAAAAATATATACAACAGCGCCCCATTTTCAGCGATAATAAGGGAAAATCCTCCACAGCTAAGGTCAAACGGGGTCTTCGAAGCTGTGTCATAACTAAGTCATTTGTTCTTAACCGCCGACGGAAAAAATCTCAGGCTTAAGATAGCAGGAACTATCGCATTACATGGAGAACATGGAGTTACGTAAAGCGTCCCTGCGCTCTGCACGATGTTTGTGATTAACAGCTGACTGACTGACTGTAGCCGAGACTGACGAAGTGACTTGCACATTCCGACTAGTAACTCTGGAATGTCATGACTCAAGCATTTGACGTTAAAGGCGAATTACGCCTTCTTTCCTGTTATTGTTATTAGAAGTAGTAATAGCAGCAAGCCGCTAGGCATGTCAAAAGTAATATTCTGGTAGCAAGTCGATACTAAAATTAAAAAGATGTAACGGTATCACTCTCTCTACAGTACCAGCAGTGGCTGGCTCGCGCCTGGCGGTAACGTGGATGCTCGCGTGCTTTTTTACAGTCTATGGTACGGACAGATACACTTCAAAATTCAGTGAAAATGCACGTCTTTGTCGTGTATCAATGTAAACACGGTAAGTTATTTAAATAATATTATTATTATTATTATTATTATTCAGGGAAATATACAGTAGTCGTTTTGGAATAAAAAAAAACTTTTCACATACATGACTTTTAAATGCACGAATGTTTAGAACTGGAAAAAAATTTACCACTGTTTTGTGTTCGGTTTCTTGTATTTTGTTTAACAGCTCTCAAGTGCTTGCCTTTAACATTTAAAAATAGCATTAGTTTTTGCTTTATTGAAAATGTGTCAAAAATCGTGAAAATTCACTGGTATTCGTGACTACTGTAGACAGTGGAAGTTTTCCCTTTCCACCTCATACTTTCCAGAAAGAAAATATAATGCATGACACATTCATTGTTTATTTAGTTAGTTCATAAGGAATAATTAATTATGGAAACTTGTAATTAAAAACCACGAATGTTCTCCAGTAATTTGAAGCCATCCGTCCCAGAGCTTTTGTTACAGAGTCCTGGCGGGAACTGCTTCCACGACAGAAATCCCATGACCTCATCAGGTTCATTTCTGACTAGCCTAGGCGACCCAAAATAACATCTGCCTGTATCACGCTCCACCTGAAAACTGCATTCAGGTCCACATCTTTTTATCTATTTTTACATGAGTTTGCAGCCCGAGTCAGCTCATCTGAAACCTTATCCTCACTACAACCCCAATTGCACAAACATTAATAAGGCCATTAAACTTATATAAAAAAACGGCAAGACACCGGGTGGGGAAATGACTAAAAACTTAAGTTCCATAGACACGTTATTTAAAAGTAAAAAAAAAACGCGTTTTTACCTAAAACAAAACAATGGAAAGCAGCGCAGTGGAATGCAAAGCCGCATTCTGTACGAATGGACCCGCATACCGTTCCTGAATTAAACGTTGCTTTGAATAGATGCGTTTGCTAAATTACATGCAAGTTCCCTACTGCGCCATCCCTAAAGTCTATTGTGAATTATAATACCATATTGTTATGTGCTGCGGCAGCTCGTCTCATAGCATTTCTGAATGTGTGGAGGAACTGCAGTACACGTACTGTAAATCTACACTTCACTTTCTCTCTCACTGCGGCCAGACAACATCCAAAACTTCTTCACTGACCGAAACTCTTTCACTTAAAGTATTCCAGTCATAAAATACTATAGCAAAACTATTATTGCTACATTAAACAGATTGTAAATTAATTTACGTTTGGATCGTTGGGTGATGTAACAGTTAATCCAGCGCTCTTTCTGATCCTCACCCGCCACGAATTTATTTAAAGGCATAATTCACCCCAAAAACGAAAATCGTCACACTCAGCTAAAATTGAATATTTACCTTCTTGTTTCAAACCCGCATGCCTTCTTTACAAACTTCTTTGATCATCAAAATGACAACCTAGCTCAGTCATCATGCAACTTTCAATGCACCAAAAAATTTTTTTTTTTTTAAATGATGCAATAAAGTGAATGGTTCCTTAAGCAGTCACTACCCATCCTTTGGAGGGTACATAAATGATGACATAATTTTCATATTTGGGTGAGTTATCCAAATATATATAATTCCCCGAGTCTGAGTCTTAAAAATCTATAAATCTATCTACCTCTATATGTCTAGAGAGAGATACATAGATAATACTAATGATGTACTTACCCAGATTTGAAAGTCTCTCCACCAAACCCGCATCCCGGATGGCTTTGGGTCCATGCTCCACCCCTCTCCTTTTCTGAGTGAAAATCGTAAAAAAATACAGTTATATCACTATGTTATACACCGGTGAGTTTGTGTGAGTTCTAATTAAATAAATCTATATTTCTGACCTGTCCTTTGGAAAACGGAGCTCCCAAAACAGCAACAGAATGCGATCGGTTCTGTTGGCAGGAACTCAACGTGAATCTCAATAATCTAGACAGTGGTCCTCTCAAGGCCATGCTGACTCAACCGGAGAGTTATGAAATGCAATACAAAAACGCAGCGGAAGGTTGTCTCAAACGAATAGCCTGTCGCCCGATGTGGCTGTTGAATCCCAAAGAACTGCCACGACGTTTTTCTTTAAGTCTTCCACTTAATTCATATTCATGAGTTCGTGAATAGCGGAAGGTGAAGCTCAAGCTACACGCCTTGGGTGAAATCTCAAAACCGCCCCCCAAAATCTAACAGTCCTCCAGCATCCAATTGTTTCCGCTTAGTGCGGCGTGAACCACGTTTTTCTATTCATAGAGCGGGCAACCTGCGTCACACCCGATGACACACCTTCCTCCCAGCCAATCAGAAGCTCCGCCAGCGTGAGTTTGTTTCAATGAGCGAGGCTTTGGGCGAATGAGTGGCGTGATACAGTAGCTGGGGTGCCTTTTTTGTGGTGTTGGAAATTTCCATCTCTGCACTGTCGACTGCATATGTTTTTTTTTTGGCTTGCCTAATGTCTCGTCAACAAATTCCCGTCTTACAGATGCAGTGGATCAAAACAGATCCAGTGTCCATAGCATTGCTGCATGACTGAATATTTATGTTCTATAGAAATGTCTGGAATACCAGTATGACGAGGACTGGCAAGTTGTTGACAACTTTGGCCTAATTTCAGTGTTTATATCCACTTCGAGCAAATACACAGAAGTTGACTCATATACATAACTACACATTCGTATATAATTCATTGAGATTTATTGATTGATCAGTTTAGTTTAGCTAATCACCGATCTGTAATAAAGAACATTATAGAAAGTGATCAGTAAATGGAGTCAATATTTTCTGCACCTTGGCTCCATCTGGTGGTAGATTTTTTTTTAGATTTGGTTGGTCTTTTCTTTCTTTTTTTTCCCTTCAGTCCATGGTTTAGACACACACACACACACACACACACACACACACACACACACACACACACACACACACACACACACACACACACACACACACACACACACACACACACACACACACACACACACACACACACACACACACACACACACACACACACACACACACACACACACACACACACACACACACACACACACACACACACACACATATATATATATATTGTTTACATGGCCAAATTTTGCATTTAATGTCATGTTAAATGTGTTTATCAGATTGCCTTGCTAATGCATTATTTGGGCGACATTATTGCGCCTTTGAAATAGTTTACTATTTCTGCAAAATGTAAGCCAGCTGGACGTTTGGTGGCGCTGTAGCATTGATGTAATGTTGTGTGCTGTATATCAAAGCATTTCCGGGATATTTTCTTGTTGGGTGGAATGTTTTCGGTTTTTTTTCCTATGCACAAAAGTAGTCTTCGTCTAGGGGGCGCTCGCGGGCTCAAAAAAGCAGAATTCTTTTATTCAAATCTCGGGTGTTTTTGTCCTACTGAGCACATTATTAATCTAAAATCGGTATTAAAATAAACAAATTAATTTCAACGATTTGTATCTGACATAGAAAAAAAAAACACCATCCGCATCATCCATCTAAAAAAAAGAAGAAGAAAAAAAAGAAGAAATACCAAACAAATGTGATTGGTCCGTCCTGATTTGCGCTGAGAAAAGTATCAGGTACCACGTAACAAGGCCGTCAACGTGCTGCTTCAGCAGCGTTCTTGACGACATTATTTTAAACCCGAACAATCACACTTACAACTTTTAATAACTCACACTTACAATAATGAAGAGAAAAATCTCAATAATGAATTATAAAGCGTGAGAATTATAATTGTAACCCTTCATCCATACTAGGTCACTAAGCCCCGCCCATCTGTAACACAGCTCAGGCGAAATTGCCATTCTTGTCGCTGACGATATTTTTTGGATTTTCTATGGATGCTATTTATTATCAGAGGAACGCGTGACCAACTCAAAAGAGAAACATTAATTATTTTACTGATCGTGACGTTACATATCCATTCCTGTGGCGGATAGGATAGGAGGTGTTGTTATTTTCAGGGGCGTTGATATACTAAAACCGAATTGGGTGAGTCTTAATCAATAATATAGTAAATACATAGGAAGAAAAATATTTTCCAGCCAGCCTCCTAGTTCAATTAGGTTATGATGAAGTGTAGAGTTTTATTGTGGATGCATTGGGTGTTGATTCGTATGAATCATATTGTAACCTGAGTGAAATCAGAGTTAAGATGACTTTGTATGGCCAAACGCTCTTTGGAACTGACATAAATCTCTCTGACAGATCGGTGTATCAGCAAACATGTCTTTCCCTCCTCATCTGAACCAGATAGCCCAGTTACCCCCTGGCATTTCCCCCTCACAGTTTGCTGGGTTTCCAACCACTGTACCTACAGGTAACGTTACGTCATGAAGAGATATGTATATTCATATATATATTGACGTTAGAAGTGTATAATCTTTGTTTATTTATATTTTTCCTCAGCAAGTCCGATAATTCCAGTCCCAGTGGGAATGATGCCTCCCTCTCCAGCGGTATGTAAAGAAACAGCTGAAACGTTTGTTTTGGTTTCCTTGGTTTGTTTTAAAAATTAACCCTGTTACCAGGCTGAGAAACATTTCCTAGAATATTTCCTAGAAAATCAGGTTTTACAATGTGCCGTATATGTGTGATGTCTGTAGGCTATTTGCCATACACAGATCCTAAATGCAGAGGCCATACCAGATCTTATTGTGCTTTACTCCTGACCATTTTAAATAATAAGCATACATGCCTGTGCTTTTTGTAGCAGCAAGATGAAACATTTCAGATGCATGGAACTGTCAGTCCGGTTGTGTTTATTATGCTCTGTGCAGTTTGTACTCTACAGTTTGTTCCTGAAATATGCTGCAGGTTTTGATACAAACTGCAATGCCAGTAGTTCAGAAGCTGACTAAGGACTCCTTTGGCACCCGTAACAAGGACTCAGAGGAAGGTACGGGTAACAACACAGGACCGACCACCACAGTGTTTGTTGGAAACATCTCAGAAAAGGCCTCTGACATGTTGGTGCGGCAGATGTTGGCAGTAAGTGTTGGGAATTTATTCAACAACTTTTATCTGCACAGTATCATTAAATCTCTTAGACACATCACCTTTATAGAATTAGTTCTCTCAAGAATTAAAATTCTGTCATCATTTACTCACTCTTATGTCACGGAGCACATCAAATATGGTAAAAGGAAGTTCAACCTTACTTGCTTGACACGAGAACCAATGAGGTTTGTTGCAGATTGATGTGCTCTATGTATGTGCGCTGATCAAAAATATCCTAATTTTTGTTACAAAGATTAATAAAAGTCATGTGAGTTTGGAACAACAAGAGGGTGAGTAAATGATGAGAGAATTTAAATGTTCCTTTTAAGTTGATTAATACATCCATTATTTGACCTGGTGTTCATGGGAATGTCTGTGTTATGTAGCATTTTGCTCAGGATGTTTTCATAGTCAGCCTGTCACAACAAACATTTTCCTCTCTTCTGCAGAAATGTGGTTTAGTCCTCAGCTGGAAAAGAGTCCAGGGGGCTTCTGGAAAACTGCAAGGTATAAAGTCAAACTATAATAATCATCAGTGCATAGTGTGTCAGTCTTTTGTAGTACACCGTTTTTGACAAAGATCTTATTGGTAAGTTCTAGCCAAATCATTTTTTTTTACAGACTTGGTATTTTCAAAGTTAGCTTGACTACTATAGGCCCAGCAGCTTAGATTTTTCTTAAGGATCTCTATCCAGGATTGTGTTGGTAATTGTAAACATGGGCTTTCTTAGACAAGTGTCCTCTGCTCTGTTTTCCTCTCCTAGAAAAGAACAAACAGGAATATGTTCAAAAAGAGATAAATTTGTCATCTGTCCGCCCTATCTGACCTAATGTTGTGAACTTGATGCATTTTAATGTGTGTTTGTATGTGTAGCGTTTGGTTTCTGTGAGTACAAAGAGCCAGAGTCCACTCTGAGAGCTCTCCGACTGCTTCATGAGCTGCAAGTGGGTGATAAGAAGTTACTTGTGAAGGTGGATGCAAAGACCAAAGCTCAGCTGGATACCTGGAAGGCCGGTCAGAGGAGACGAAATGGGGTAAACAAAAAAAATTCATACTTTTATTCAGCAAGGACCACTGTAAAACCTAACAAATGTCCTAACTAACACTTTTTAGTTTACTTTACTTAATGTACAACGATTGGTTGATTTTAATTATAAAAATCTAGTAATGTGTAATATTTGCGTACTATGCCTTTGTTACTCAGAAAACCTAAGATAAATTGATTGTTGAGTACCATTATATCAAGCTAGTTTTTAGTTCCCGGCATGCTTTGCATTTTGACTCCAGAAGTAAATTTTGAAATTAAGTGTTATTTTATATGTTTCTGCTCAAGATAAATATGGGGGAGATCTGTTAGTTTTTAATGTTCTGTTTTAAAAGGGGTTCTATTATGTCTGCATTTTTGGAGCGGTTGCCACTGTGCTAAGGAGTAGAGCCTGTGGTTAGTTCAAGGATGGCTCTGTAAACATTAAGACTATAGACTGCTTTATTTAAAAACCATTAACTGCAGCTGTTGATGCAGTGATAGTCTCTCTGTTGGTTATGTTAGCACATGCATGTGTGCTATTGCTAACTGGACAGTTGATGCACTTAATTTAGTGAAGCAAAACTTACTTGGCTGCTTTTTTTAAGTAAGGGTAACTAATTAGATTTTACAATAACACATTGAATTAAAATGACGAGCATGATTGAGTGCCAAATCAACATATTAGAATGATGTCTGAAGAATCAGAATCAGAAAGAGCTTTATTTGCCAAGTGTGTTTGCACACACAAGGAATTTGTCTTGGTGTCAGGAACTTCCAAGTGTAGAAAGTACAGACATAGTGCAGACATGCATATCATTTAAGGTAGTAAAATGAAATAAAACACTAACAGACAATAAATAAAAAATAACAATATGGTAATAAAATATAGCGAAAAAATATATGTCAATAGACAGAATTATGAGTGTGCATATGTGCTATTTACAGATTAAAAAGTTTTGATCAGTTATTTACAGATGTACAGTCCTGAGATGTGTTATGTATTGTTTAGATGGAATATGGCCTGGGGTAAAAAGCTGTTCTTGTGTCTGGCTGTTTTGGTGCTCAGTAGCGCCGACCAGACGGCAACAGTTCAATGAGAAAGTGGGCTGTATGTGAGGGGTCCAGAGTGATTTTCTGAGCCCATTTCCTAACTCTGGAGGTGTAAAGTTCTTGGAGGTTAGGCAGGGGGCACCAATAATCCTCTCAGCAGTCCTGACTGTCTGTTGTCTCTTGATGTCTGATTTGGTAGCTGAACCAAACCAGACAGTTATAGACAAACAGGACAGACTCAAACTTCCTCAGCTGGCGAAGGAAGTACAGCATCTGCTGGGCCTTTTTTCTTTATTACAATAGAGTCGATGTGAATGTCAAGGGCATAGGTTTGATTTTGACATTGGTGGGGACATGTCAACACCACCCCCCCCTCCACCAGCCAACATATTCATGATTCATTAAAAGAGTTTTTTATTTTTGAATGTACAATAATTACACAATTTTGATTATGTAAACCAACAACATAAAAAGACTATTCAGTCTAAAAGAATATTCAGAATACAGTTTATTAAAAATACAAATTTCACATTAAGCATTATAGGATGCTTCGTACATTCAGTTTAACAATATTAAGTTAAAGTTAAAGTGGGTAATCTTATTCATTCAACTGAACTGTGCACGTATGTTTTAAACTCTTCGCCTACCTTATGTTCTTATTCTGGCCAAAAATGTGCGTCCTTGAAAGCGCACAGTTTTCTACCTTATTTACTTTAACTTCTCAGGTAATATCAATGGAATGACCCATTTCAAATGCAGCCGAAAATACAACAACAGTGGTTAGGCTATACATATATTTAATTGTTTGATTAAAATTATTGCTATGGACAATTTAGTAGTCGCTGGATATTGGTAGGGACATGTCCCTAGCATCCCTACCTAATTCTACAACCTTGGTGAATGTCCCACTTCAGGTCCTGTGAGATGGTGGTTCCCAGGAACCTGAATGACTCTACTGCAGCCACAGTGCTGTTCATGATGGTGAGTGGGGGGAGATTTCTCCTGAAATTCACAATCATCTCTACTGTTTTGAGCGTGTTAAGCTCCAGGTTGTTAAGACTGCACCAGACAGCTAGCTGCTCAACCTTGCTTCTATATGCAGACTCGTCACTGTCCTGAATGAGGCAGATGACTCTATTCTCTTTATTGTTAGTGTTTTATTTCATTTTATTACCTTAAATTATATGTATGTCCACACTATGTCTGTACTTTCTGCACTGGAAGCTCCTGACACCAAGACAAATTCCTTGTGTGTGTAAAGATACTTGACAATAAAGCTCTTTCTTATTCTGATTCTGAAGGATCATGTAACACTGAAGACTGAAGAGTAATGGTTACTGAAATCACAGGAATAAATTATATATTAAAATATATTAAAACAGTTATTTTAAATAAATGTAAATAATATTTCACTGTATTACTGTTTTCATTGTATTTTTGATTAAATAAATGAAGCGTTGGTGAGCATAAGATACTTTCAAACATAAAAAAATCTTACAGATTCCAAACTTTTGAACAGTAGTGTGACTCAACTTTAAAGGGGTCATATGATGCTTTTTTAAAGATCATTATTTTGTGTATTTGGTGTAACAGAATATGTTGACATGCTTTAATGTTCAAAAAACACATTATTTTTCAAATACTGTACATTATTGTAGGTCCTCTATGCCCCGCCTCTCTCAAACGCTTCGTTTTCTACAAAGCCCCCTCCTTTGACAAGCGCAGTCCGCTCTGATTGGCCAGCTGACCCAGTGCACTGTGATTGGCCGAACACCACAAGCACACGTCGGAAATGAAACGCCCCTTACCATAAT